TATAAAATCCTCTCAGAACGACTTCTTCTCATCACCATATGGCTTGGGGCATTTGAGAAACAAAGATTATCTTATCCAGTCATAACAAGTATTATTCAAATGGCGACTACCACCCAGTCTTCACTATAATCTTTCAGCAATTTCACAACATTCTTCATGTCCCCGATAATTTTATTTCTGGTGGTCATGACATTATTCGATGAAGCTTTTAGATGCAGAATTCCCAGTGGTCTGCTTAACTTCACTTCCCCAATGAAGTAGGTATTACTTTAATCCCCAGTGGATCTTCTCCAACTTCACCTTCCTAATGAAGTGGACGTATCTCACTCCCCAATGGACCTTCTACAACGTCGATCTTCTCCAGCGTGAGTCTCTCTAGTGAAGCAGATATTTATTTTATCCATAGAATGTCTCCAATTATGAGATTGATCCACCCCTGGTAGATCTTTATTCTCGTCTTCAACAAGACTTATCAAGATGTTACGTCTCCAAGTGGAATGTTCTCTATTCCCCATATGAGTTTTAAGACCTTGAAGCAGGATTGTGATCCTATAGTTGGTTCTCCGTCTATCCCCAGTGATACTTCTATCTTTGAAGATTGGTCAGATGTTTTGTTTCGAGATGTTTACTTCATCTCTGCCTTTCCTCGTCGGCATACACATAACATATAGATAGATGGCATGGCATATGCATTTTTCATCTTTGTGTTCGTTTGTTCTGTCGCTTTGGTCGTGTTTATCCCCGAGTGGTTGGGCGCGTCTTCTCCTTCCAATTAGAGTCGTCAGCCCTAGGCAGAAAAAGCGTCAATATTTCTATTTCCCCATGGAGATTGATCCTCGTGGAAGACAGTTGTTTCAGCATATCCCATTTGAGTTCATACCTCAATGGTCAAGTCTTGCTTAACAGTTTCTCTTCAGATATTTCCTGAATTGAACTACGGTCCTTGGCAATCACATTATGGACGTCTCCAATTTTTGAGTTTGGATTAAGTGTGCATTTATTTTGTACTCAGTTCCCCAGGAAGGATCTTTATAAAGATGCATTTCTCCAACAGTGTTATCAGAACTTCTCAACAATGTGCATCTGAATTGCAAGCAGCTCTTTATTCGAGCAACTCATTTCAATCAGGTTTTTATCTCCACAAGACAGTTTGTCCATCCCTAGTGATTATCAACTTGGTAAATGGAAAAGCTTACATATATTTCTCTTTATTTGAGAATTCACACTTTTTACAACTACGATAAGGATGCTCCTCAGGAATGACTTCCCCAGTGAGTTCATCACACAAGTTTACTTCCGTCAAGTGACATCTCCCCGAAGAAGTCGAAGAAGTTTAGTCTCTCTTTATTTGAGAAGACGTACAACCGACTCACATCTCTTCCGAAGATCCCCGGTGAAACTCTACACTACAGACTACAATTACATCTACAAATTACATTTACAGTTCTACAACAACAGATTACATCAACATTTACAATTTACAAAATCCTACAATCTACAGAGTTCTACAAACAACAATTTACATCAACATCTACAATGGCAATTTACAAAGTACTACAAATTACAACAATTCTACAATCTACAGAATTTTCAAACATTTCGAGTAGAGACTGAGACCAACTCATAGCACCCATACTATGACGCTCAGAGAGGTTCTGCATTAGAGACTGAGACCAGCTCATGGTTCCCATACCATGATGCTTGGGGAAGTTTTACAACTACATCAACATTTACATCAACGACAACTACAGTCTATAACGACAATCATTCGAACATCTTTCATTTCCTGGTTAATCTCGGCAGTAGATTCCTAGAAGACCTCGACAGTAGGTAGTCCTATTTCAGTTCCTGGTTAATCTCGGTAGTAGATTCCCAGAAGACCTCGGCAGTAGGTAGTTCCTGGTTAATCTCGGCAGTAGATTCCCAGAAGACCTCGGCAGTAGGTAGTTCTATTTCAGTTTCTAGATAATCTCGGCGGTAGATTTCCAGAAGACTTTGTCAGAAGTATTTCTCCAACAAACTTCAACACAAAATCTCGGCAGTAGATTTCTAAAAGACTTCGTCAGAAGTATGTCTCCAGCAGATATCAACACAGAATCTCGGCAGTAGATTCCTTACAGATTTTCACAGTACATACTTTGGCAAAAGTATTCTCAATTACAATTACAAGTCTCGACAATAGGCTTCTTCAGATGATATCTTGAATCAATTATATTTTGACATATACAGTAGATTCCTCCAGAGAATTTCTCTTCCAAGTTCTTCACGACATATTTATAGACACTTTGTGATTGTCCATCTTTCCCCGTGGAGCCTTGCTCGTTGAGCATGTTCTTCCCGTGTGTCGTGTTTAGTTTCTCCCCTGTGGCGTCATTTCTCCACAGGATCCTTTGTCTTGCATTTCATATAGTTGCATATCATTTGCATTCGGTGGCTCTTAGGGCCAAAAATTTGTGCAGTGTTTATATTTAAGTCCCTCCTATCTCGTCGAGACGGAGATTTCAATCTCCATATCTCCAAATAGGAGTAACTTAAATAGGGGCATCTGTTGCACCCTAATTTTTGACCGTAAGATCCCACCTCTTTTTGTGCATTTCTTGTGTGTTATCTTTTACTTTTGTACGTATGTTTATTGCGGCTAACCAGTTTGCGCAGGTGCAGTAGTGTCAAGGTATAGGTTCTTATAACCAAGCATCACAGGGACGTGACTAATATATTCAAGTTCAAAGCTCACCGCTCAAGAATTCAAGATTAATTTAATAAGATTTCTGCATATGAATGAGCCTATCAAATTCAATTCAGAGACTCAAGAGTAGCTAAGGGATTCAGATTCAAAGCCTTAAGGTTTCCACGAGCTGAGGAACTAGGATTCGAGCATGCCCTCGTCAGGGATCAGTGTTATCCCCTTCCATATTTCTCAAAGGACTCTCGTCATTTTTTTTACTCCAGAAGGTTGAGGTCTTCCTTACGTTAATATTGAGCATGGGAGTTTGCGGATTGTCGTGGTTGTTGTAAGGTTATTTTTGAAGTCGTGATGCATCGGTCTCAAATCGAAGTTTTTAAGCTTCAGCCTATTTTGATTCTGGTCATGGTATGTCAAGCTTGGCTGCAAAGCAATGTTGTTTGTGGGCTTATTATTCCTCGAATAAGTTGGCCATCATTGAAAGTTTCATGGTTTTTTATCAAAAGCATTTAAATCAAGATTAGTGAATCATTGGCTTAATAGCAGGATCATGACGTGTCCTCCATCCAATTTGGTTTGACTTAATTCCCTCGAATTAAAAGGGTTCTTTCGAACTCGTGACCTCTTTTCAAAGTGCATTTCTTTATCTCTTGGATTTTGGATTACAAGGTCAAGGTTGGGATTTTGTCCCTCAAGATCAACATGCTAGGATGCATTGAACTTTAACATTACTACCTTTGAGAATATTGGATTTAGGTCTATGTTATTCTTATTATTTCCCAAAGTTATTTCTTGATCCAGAGATTGAGGTTGTGGAATTATGGAGGTTTCAAGGTTCAAAGTTTTTATACAAAAGGGGATTGTGTCATAAATATTAAAGTAATTGTTTGGCATAATAACGCTCCCACATGGTCAAGGGATGACAAGTCTCATCAAATGAAGTTCCATTTCCAAATCCAAAATACTATATGATTTGGTCCTCTGCAAGATTCATTTTGGTTATTACAACAATGACGTTTAGAATGGTTTAGCAGGATAATTTGTCTAAAAATTGTTCATATACTTTTGGGACAATCTTAATCCATTAAGCAAACACTAAAAGAGAAATACTTGTTACAAATATAAGGCCATGGAAAGCTAACTCTTTTCCAAAACCAGTTTTTTATTCCTCAAGCGTTGATGTGTGCACTTAATACGGAAAAGTCTTGGTAAATTGACATTAAGAAGAGAAGGTTGAAACATTTGCAAGAGGATGATGACAGCTTTGAAAGTATCCAATGTTCTCACAATTGTATCGGAGCTCCCAGGTCAATTCCAAGCTCTACCAGTCCATTACCTCTACCAGCGCATATTTTGAAATTGAAAGAGTTGGAAGGAGGTGACTTCAATCCTCAAACTTCTGCCACGGTCCATCTCACCTATTGTGAACAGCTTTCACGGCTCAAAAACCCTTGGTGTCGGGACGAAGTATTCGGCAGCATCACCTGCAATGGTTTAACACATCAAGTAAGATAACAGCCAAGACAAAACCAGACGAATTCTGAAACAGATACTCTAAGGATAAGTTATTTTCAAAACATTAGTTAAACGAATAACAACATGCTGGCAGCGGTGAGGTTCTTTCCGAAACAGAATGCCGACATTGTTCAATGGCAATAATGTTGTTTTCAAGACGGAAGCTCTCGAATCTCACGATATGTCGGGGCAGAACGGGCAGTTTTCAGAAAACAATTATATGACAGAAAGAGAGGAAAACCTGAGATCCTAGTCAGCAGAGTGCTCTCGGTGACGCCATCGAAGGACTTATGAGACTTTGTATTTAAAGAAGTTGCTGCTACCTTGAAACCAAACACAACCTGTCAAATCAGAGCTCAGTTACGACATGGAAGAATGAAAACGCGTCAAGCTTCAAATAGCCACTTTCATCGATAAAGCTAACTGAAAGCCAGTCAAATAAATCATTTGTTACTATGATAGTGCATAATCTAAGATTGAAGCATCCGTGTTAAAATAACGGCTGCTTACCAACTTTTCACTAGATGATGCTTGTCCATTAGGAGTCCAGTTGTCTCTTGATACAACAGGAAACATTTGCCAATCTGAACTAAAGGATGATAAACATTCTGATATGGTTGGTATTCCACTATTTACTATTGATGATGGCATTCCAGCTTGCGGTTTGGAAAGTCGAGCTAATGCTTATGCACAACAATAGCCTGCAGAAAATCGAAGCCTGATTACTGTTGATGACATTTTGGGTTCAGTTTTTGAGACAACACATCATGTAGGAAGAATTTCTGTTTCAGCACCTTCTAACATGCCATACAAAGAAATGGCTCTCCATTGTGAGGCCCTCCTCGCGGGAAAGCAACAAAATATTTCCACTTTCATGGGTGCCAATTCATTACATGGCTATTCATTTAGGATTTTTGCTCCTACTAATTACAACCATGAAAGGGACAAACCCACAAATTCCAATGTTCAACAGAGTTTACCTTTGGTGAATGGAAATCCATTCTTGGATTCACCCAGCACATTTCCAGAGACTGTTCCAAGGCTTCGTGCCACATCATATCAGCAAGAGGATGCCTTCTTTCAACTGCCAGCATCCCGCCCATATGTCAACTTCTTGAAGGCTGCTGGTTGCTGATTAATGAAAAAGGAAGACTTCAAGTAAACCGACCCCTTTCGCTGCATAGTTACTTCCGTCGACTTCGAGACTGCTCAAGTGCCAAGTTCAGTACCGCCATGTTTCCGTAACCTGCATCCACAATAAAGATTGGAATTATCAGTCAAAACTTGGAGTGTATTTTCTAGCAGCTTAAACAATACGGCGAGTCGCGGTCATTAGAACAAGAGTTCAGGACAATATAATTGTAACCTTCAAGATTACCTACATCAATATTACACATTGTCCAAAAGATGATATTGGCGAGTTTGGATAAATACCGTTTCGGCATAAAATCAGTTAAAACCACATGTTTACCAAGATGATCAATGAGAATTTAATTAAAGGGAGTTAACACTAAGTATACTCATCTTTCCATTATGTCATGACCATGCTTATGACGCTCTCAGAGTCAGCGCCACCACCATCTGCTTCCACCATAATCAGCACTGTCACGAAATGCCCGTAAGCCGCTAAATCCTTTAGTGGATCTTCCCGGCGCTGTTTTAAAATAATTAAGCCTGTCTACCTCTCCAAGGACCTGCTGCAATAAATTGAGAAGAGACAATTTATATCACAACTTATCAAATTATCACTACAAGTATGTGGAACAGAAGAGATTAAACGTAACTCAACTCAGGAACACCCTTTGCTGCTCTAACGTACTCGCAACCTGCAGTCCAATAACAATATTAACGACACCACAACAGCACTCGGTCACCATTTCCTGCAAACCGAAACACAGACACATTATTTGACCTCCAACGCAATCACACTTAAATGAGTAAATTGAAAAGAGGGAAACCATCAGACTTGTAAGAGGCCCAAGTCATTACCATTTAAATACAGAGGGCATTCGAGCGCTGGCTACGACATTTTTGCCACACCAGTCATTGGTTCATCCATTTTGCACTTGTAGGAATTTATTCGTTGGTCTTCCCCATCCCTGCGAGAATAACCAAAGTCATCAGCTTACAAAGAGCCTACAGACCTTCCGTTAATCGATTGATTAACGCTATCTTTGAAAACCATAAAATTCTTACCGAGAAACGCATACTCAGCAATAAAAGGAGTTGGTTCCAGCGAATTCTCCAATTCGTAATGTATCTAGCGTGAGAGATTACTCCAGAAGAGCTTGAAAGCAAATGCTATAATTGGAATGGAAGAGCCTCCAAATCAGTATCAGCAGCAATATCATTACTCTTCGATTCGATGACTATAATCCCTGGAGATACGTTGCAAATGCGCTGCAAACAGAAGAAAGGAATGAAGTCCATTGTCTTTCCATTTTAAAAGTGACATGTTCGAACATGTTCTAATCTAAAAGGAAATAAATTAAAGCGAGAAATCAACGTGTGACATTTTCAAGTTTGTCTTCTTCCGGCCAAACCAACAAGGAAAGATGATTAAGCACATTCAATTCAGTTTTTTCGAAGTACTATAAGAGGACAGGATTCAGGGGACTTTCAAGGAAAAGAAATTGACAACAATCCACAATGTTCACAGAGAAATCCCAAATCCAACAAAAAACCTAAAAATGCAAAAGTTCGAAAAGAAAGCACTTATCTGTGTGTTCGAATCCACCATTGAAACGACAACTGTCACGCCGTCCGAACTTAAAACCACCGGCGAAAACCCACACCTAATCCTTCCACCAGCCATCCGTCCACCACCGAAGGAACTATCGTCACCGTCATCGCGGGTAATGTTCTCTTCAATCGGTGTTTTCATTTGTGATTGATGTGTGTTTTGTGGTTTTTTTTGTTTGATAGGAAATGGAGAGGAGAAGAACGAGTCGTAGAATGGAAGTGGAAACGGTGAAGAGAAAAGAAAGAAGAAACGTGAGAAGAAGAGAAATGAGGGAGAAACGAGAGGAGATTGGCGAAAAGAGAGACGGAGAAGACGACGATCGGGGGGAAAGGGGATTAGGGTTGCGATTCATTCTCTTGTTCTGTCTATTGTTGTAACATAATCAAATACGTGCACACACACCATAGCTATGGTGCGCACCTCACATACACCCGTCAGATCCAATGTCTGACGCGATCTCACGGCCTTATCGCGCAGACCATCATAAACCCCGTAGACCACACACGCACAACCTCTTGCCCAGCCTAATCACTCCCTAATTATAACGTTAAAACCACTAATCCCTATTAATTAATCGTTAATCAACTTATCATTTATTTAATTAATTAATCAATTAATTAATTACCCCTTTTCTTTAATCAACCGTTTAAAAATCTCCTTTTAAATTAACCATTTTAATTAATCCTTTTTTTTTAACTCTTTAACTTAATTTATCTAATAATTTCTTATTCACCTTCTATTTAATTTTGTCATCAATCTTAATAACCCTTTTTATAATATTTAATTTACTAATTTTTTAATAATAAAAATCTCTACTTCATCTAATTTAACTCTTATTTATTTAAAATCTATTTAATAATAATAACTAAAAACTCTTTTATGAAAAAAAAACCTTTTTAATTTAATATGTTATAATAACAATTTTTATTTAAGGATAAATCTCTTCACATTTAAATTAATTTTATTTAATAAGGTAAAAATAAAACCTCTTAGATATTTAGACTTTTTTAAAAACCACTTCTTAAAGTTTAATTAACCGTCTAACCTTTTTACTAGAACACGTAGCTAATATAATTAATACCACCTTTTTATAAAATCAACCTCACCAAATTAATTAACATTTCCCATAAAATTAAAATCACTTATAGTTTTTATCTAACAATATTAATCTCGCTTAAAATCAATCCCACGAGTAAACTAATATAACCTTCGCCTAAAAACAATCAACATCGTAATGTAATTCAATCACGTACGCTTACACCTCATACTCACAATTCACTTTCACGCACTTAGCGCTGTCATGCGTATGTGTATGGTTTACTTTCCGCAATTTATTTTACAAGCAATTTATATTATCGCATTTATATTTCCGTCTCGAATTACGTCCAAAGGAAAAACCTACACATGATTCAACAATTGTGTGTAGTGCATCATTTGCATCATTCTCCCCTACGATCCTTGATCCCATTCAAGTTGATCTTTAGGATAGATCCTACCCATAGGAAGGACCTTTTTTCCTACAACATAGAAATAAACACAATACAAACAACTCAAATCAAACAACACTCAAACACATTAGAGAAAGATGCCAAATCATCTTAAGCGAGATAGAATCTCCACCCCACAACAATACAATCAACATGTAGGGACTTTGCCTTAAGAGAGATAGAGGCGTACTCGTCAAACAATCCGAGTACTTGAGCCCTTTTCTTAAGACGATGCAAAGACTATTTTCCTACAATCTGTGGCGGTTACATCTCCCCTAAAATGATAAAGCATCTCTTCTCCTAAACCTAATCAATCAACTACCCTAAACTCGTAGGAACTTTGACCACAGTCAAAGAACTCCTCATACCCTTTAAGAGAACTACAAAATACTCTGATTCCACCCCCGTAAGGATATGTAGGCATAAGATGCGACATCTTATCGAGTATACTTAGAAATAAACCACTAGGGTCTTTTATACCTTAAGCAAATAAACACTTAACAATAAACAACATAAAACAAGAGGTTCCTGTAGAGTACTACAGAAACTTAGGATGCTAGTACCTTCCCTAAGTTTAACCAACCCCCGAACCTATAATTCTCTAGCTTGCATTTGCATTGCATTGTGGGAATTTCGATCTTTATCCCTTCCTTTGGACAAATCAAAGTTCGGTTGCAAAAATGAATTAAAGATTCAAACTAATCAATAGTTTGGTATCCGATTTTCACCGCGACAGTAATAATAGGGGTTTTTTCCCAGTATCGATCTCTGAGGACTGCGTGTAAATTTTAAGTACAAATCTTCTTTCAATCAAACAAAATAACCTTGGGTTTTGTTTAGGGTTTTCAAAAGGAAAAAAAGCTGAATGATAAAATTATTTTAACAATTAAGAGAAAACATGCTAAGGGAAGCGTATGAATTGCGTATAACGAACCCTGGAGTAAACCAATAAGACTTCTCACAAAACCTTAATTTTTATTGCACCTCAAAAGTGTTTTTCTTAAATTCCTTAACTGAAAAACCTTTGATATTCTTCCTTGACCCTAATTCCTTAGCAGCCAAGGAAAGACATCAAGCAATAGTTCTGACAAAGGGTTTTTACAATCATTACAGGATATCTCTATTCCTAGGCAATATTCATTGTAATGTGTTATACAAAGTAATCGATCAGTTTTTTAGGCCAAATCTGTAATCGTAAATCATTCCTAATTTATACGATCTTTAAAAGTTTAAACGAATTACATAATAAAATATTAAGGAAAGAAATAAAATCTCATTAAGAAATGCAGCAGAGGTTCATTACAACACAATTCAGGGACACTCCCATAGCAATTGGGTGTTTAGATATTCATAGTATTCGATAAAAACAACATGACAAATAGAAACATTACAAGATTTAAGGAGTAAATTCGATCTTCAATTTCTTCCGAGCATGAAAATATCCTTGTCCTCCCAATTCTCCAGAGCTTCAATCTTCTGTTGTAGTTTCTTCGTACCAATCAAAAGTCCCCTCTCTTTTTTCAAAACACGTATCAAATAGTCTCAATTCAAACTCAGTACCATGGAAATGTCCAAAATACCCTCAGGGATCACAAGTGTAAAAAATACAAGAAAAATAGGGAATGAGGCGTTTTAACCAACACGGGCCGTGTCAGGCAACACGGGCGGTCGTGTTGGCTTCCTGATATCATTTACGCATGATTTTTCCAAGTCCCAGGTGTCCTGACACGGGCCGTGTCACGTGACACGGGCGACCGTGTCAAGCCATTGTTTTCTACCAAAAATCACCTCTTCTGAGCACATCCTGACACGGGCCGTGTCACACAACACGACCATCTGTGTTAGGCCCCTCTTGTGAATCTGACTTCGACTACAACATGAACGTCGTAGCTCTCTCTCTTAGCT